TATAATACGGCTAATAGAGGCGCATCCATGTTACTTATATTCAAAATAACGAGTGTGTATCAAATTTTAATAAACAAAATTAAACAATCGATTTGATACACATAAAAAAACATTTCCACATGTATGAAAAATTATCAAGTATTAATCGCAGTCTTGTTTGTACTTTGTACTAAGCCTCTATGTTATTTACAGAAATCCGACATAATATCGATCATTTCATAGAGATTCTCGTCATTTTCTTCTTTGCTATCGGAATTCACGCAATTGCTGGTTTCGTCCCCGACTCATACATGAAACTCGATTTAAAACGATCAATCATTTCCGTTGAGGGTTGAAACGTTTTGCAACACTTCCCATGCGCTTGAAAATTCATTCGGATTCTGAGAAGAGATTGCAGCATCGAAGTTTTCAGTTTATTCCGAATCCGTGATTTTATCAGAGTGAGTGCTGAAAAAGTTCGTTCGACTACAGCGTTACTCGTGGGAATTGTAAGTATTTTTAACACCACTTCTGCCAGTTCTCGGAAAATAAAACGGCCGCAAGCATCGGTATATTTGTATACATCAGGCCAAAAAACTAAAATATTAGTTGGTACATCTTCTTTATAATAGGTATTCCAATCGAAGAACCTGAGTTTTTCCCACTGACTCTTGTACACAGAGACATCACAATCAGAATCGAAAAAATCTGATAAAGGAAGTTCCTCGAACTTGACTCGAACTTGCGATGTGCAATGCCTTGGACTTAATAGCTCGATTTTCTTGAAAATTTCAAGATTTGCTGGAAGCCTCTGCGCCATTTCTCTCAGTAATCTTTTTAGAAAATTAAAGCACCTCTGTTGTATCTGAGATTTGTTTGCTTCAGAGATTTGAGATTGCTCAATTTCCTTCTTGAATTCTTGTTCAAAATCCATTTCTGCGACCGGCAAGAAAGCCAGATCATTATCGACTGCATCAATTACTTGTTGTACAAAAGACCCATGTCTAGCTGTTAAGAAAATTGGCTTCAAAATCTTTCTAGCTAACGACAAAAATGTGAGAGAGAATTCTGTATACAAACTTCCAGCGTCGATTTTTTCACTCTGAAATGATGTATTTAGATGCTGTACTTCAAATAAAATGGGCTTTAAAAACATCAAATACAATTTGTTACAGTTATCTTCGAGCATATCACGTATCGTTCGTGCAGTATAGCACTTTTCAGCATCGCAAGCTATACGGAAATGGGTTTTCAACTCTACCCACTGCTCCAATAATCGTTTCACAACGTCGTAAAATGCAAGCCATCTTGTTCGCGAAAGTTGAATCATCTGCCGTTTCTGAGCGTCATTACCACAGTTGATCAAATCAAACGTTTTCTTATAATTTATTTTGCGCAGCGGACTGATGCTAAACCAATTGAATATTTCTCTCACTAGAAAATCTAAAGAACTCGGAAGTTCTTCACTAGCCTTCGACGGACAGAGATGCAACGAATGGCAAGTACATCTCATGAGTTGCAGGTTTGGTACATCGCGTTTCAATAAAGTATAAACTGAATGATTGCGCCCACAGAGGTTACTTGCTCCATCCGTGCTTACAGCTATCATATTTCTTAACGGGATTCCGATTTGTTGCAAATACTCAATAATACTTTTATGTAAATCGATGGCCGTTGCCCGTTCTACTTCTAGTATACCCAAAAAATCAGTGAGTATGCGGTTTTCTGTAGTATCAAAGTATCTGACACACATGCACAGATACTTTGTAACTGAAACATCGGTGCTTTCATCAATAATTATTGAATATCCTTTTTGCCCAATGGCTTTAACCAAATTGTCCAAAAGAACGGGTGCAATCACATGCTTTATCAAACTTGAACATTTCGTCCTATGCAATTGTAGGTTCTCAAAAATGCTTACCTTTCCTAAAATTTATAGAAGCTCGCCTAGATGATCAATCGAGCAAATAGATGAATGCATTGTTATGTATGTCGCTAGTTTCATCTGCATGATTTTCTGCTCGGCAGTTATTGAAACCTGATAACCTATAAATGATAAAAAAACCAATTATAGAAAGTAGAAAAGGAAACTGAGATTTATTTGAAACAATAAAAAATATTTTTTTACAATTTGGAAGTGCCTATTAATTAATAAGAATGGAAGAATCAATCTTAGTGATTGTTACTTACCGTGGCTCATCAAAGATTTATATTTTGTTTTGTCGAGCATTGTAGAATTCTCTTTGTGTTTTTTTGAGCGTGCATGCTTTTGAAGATCCGTAAGATGACTCCTTAAAGATTGGTCACAAATTTTACAATAGGCTTCGTTTGGATCATTCGGACTTTTGTGTTTTGACAAGTCAATGTGTTGTAACCATCCTACAATTTTATTTCAACGTGTTAAACACAATGTCGAATACGAAATAAATACCACGTTATATGTATATATAGAAAACTCGTATTCATATTTTAAGGTTATACGAAAATTGATGACTGGTAAATAAAACTGACTTAATTTTTAAATCATATTTTCGATAATAGGACTTGTTGGATAATATCTCGTTGATGCACAAGTTTACCTTTGGCCCATTCGGTAGATTCCCACACCTTTCGATATTTTCGTTGGTCCTTTTCATATTTGCCCATGTTTCACTTTTATATAACCTTCAACCATGGAGTCTGTATAAGGAGACCGAAGTTCGGTCATGTGACACGCACCTCATGTGACACGCACGAATGCGAATCGAGTTTTCCGTTGACAGCGCTGCCAGTGATTCTTTTTTGGAACGAAAATTTCTCGAAAATGTCGGCCCACTCTAATTACAGGAGTTCGGTCTTTTTATACAGACTCCATGCCTTCAACGAATCACATTCTTAGCCGCTCAAGCCTAGACAGCCACATTGCAAAAATCGCCAAAAAAATAGTCAAAATCGTCAAAAAATTCAAAATCGCCAAGTCGCCAATTGCAATTTTTCAGAGCCAAATGGTCTCTAGAAATCGCCAATTTGGCGTAAAATCGCCAAATCTGGCAACCCTGAACTCGGTGGCGATCGTCGATTAACGTACAGTGCCCGTCACAAGATTGCGTCTTCTTTCACAGCGATCCGGCTCGAAGGACCAAAATTATGTGTGGTTTGTCGCTCGTCGGTTTTCCGCCGTTGGCTCGGCGAAATCGCGACTCTTCCACGGAGGCTGATACAGCCTTATCAGAAGGCTCGCCGTGACAGGAATTCAAAAGTCAGTGGAGTATTCGTGCACTTCTCAATTATTTATTAAGTGACGGTCTATCGAACGACGTTAACTTTACAATATAAAAGCGGTAACCGAGACAGGGTAACACGTCCTATCTTTAAGCCAACTACCTTTGTTCTGACCAGAGATCCCGTGTCGTGGCGCGGAATCCTTACGAAGAGAAATCCCCTCTTTTCGGAGAATAGACACCTGCTCTCTCCGAATTGGCGGACAAATTCGAAATAAAATGAGAGCGTTTACCAATAACGGCGAGTTTGACTGCGAAACATCTCATGGTCAAAACTGTTTAGATCGCGAGGTTTATTTGGGAGAACTAACGACATTCCACTGTCTCGATAGCTCTCTCTTTGCAAATACATAACGCTTGAGAACAGAGAATTACTGTTTGAATCCGGAACACTTCTTCTGTTGTCAATGGTAATGCTGGAAGATTTGCTGGCCTTATTATCCTTTTTTCATGTGGCAGAAGATAACGATTTAATCTGCATTGGTTCATAATCGCCACATCCAATTTACTACCAATTTCTTGAAGTAGCGTATATGTATATCTTTTTTTCAAAAGTTTTATTTACATCAAGCACCACTTCAGACACGTCCGATAATACACAGTCTGTAAGGAAAGTAAAACTTAATAAAGTTTTTATTGAATTTAGAATTTTATTAGTTTAGATTTAAAAAGAATAAAAAGTTTAAAAAATACAATTATTTAACCTGATCGACAAGATGAGTGAGGTGTAGAAGTAACTGTTGTTACTTGAGAAGTAACTGGACTCGTGTCATGTAATTCTGATAGACATACATTGTGCATTGAAGATTGCGAGTTTTTATCTAATATATCATATTTATATGTACAATCCTTTGATGTACTTGGGTTCTCTAGACTTATCGATTTTGCACTTGTCTTTTCAGACGCATTATTTTTTGTTAACACTTTTTCTATATCCTTATTTTTCAAAAAATCTTGGCGTAGAATATTAGGATTAATATTTTCCTCTGCAGCATCAGATACTATATTTTCCTAAAAAGATATTTTAGGACTTAACTTACATCTACATATTAACTCACATCTAAACTTACATCTGTTAGCAAATTACTTATAGCGAGGTGATTTTTCATGTATATGCCCGAAGTTTCAAATAAAATGTAACGGGCAGAATATCACTCGTCATCGTTTGTCAAGCGGCGAGGATGATCGTTACTTTCAGAGGTGTCCGTCAGAAGTTTAAAACCGTAAACACCTGTATCGTCAACAGCGTAGATCGGCTGTTATGCGTGAGACTGCGGATTTGTCCGAGGGCACTTCCTCGAAAGAAAATAAAAGAGCGCTGGCTCTAGCGAGAACGGACAGTCAGTCGAAATCGAGAAGAGAGGCACCAGCTGAGGAACGAGCAGCGACGAGGCGACCCGCGAGAAATCATTTTTTTACGCTTGTATAACCATAGGACGATCTCTGTGAGAAATAAAGAAGGCCTAAAATTTAGAATAGCTGAGTTTAATAATTTCTGAGCCAACAGAAAAATCAGAAGTGGGATTCTAAACCACCACGTCCACAAAGTGAAGAGGATAGTTCGAAGGCTGCGTGCAGGACTTGGAAACGTACGATCTTCTGTGTGAATTTCGGGATTTTGATTTGGAACGCTAGAATCGAAACTGCGTGGGATTCTGTGTGAATTCCGGTATTTCGATCTGGACGTTTGGAATTGGAGACTGTGTGAAGTTCGGGTCTTACAGCCATGACGTTTCAAGGAACTGATTTCACGATGTGCGAATTAAGGGAGGTTTTGACTGCGAAAGGACTATCCACGAAAGGCGCCAAAGCAGAATTGATCCAGCGGTTAGGCGAGAAGATACCGAATATTTGGGCAATAATGGGTGAGCAACTGGGGAAAACTCCGCTGTCGGAGGAGACGACGACGTTTGATCAAGATAGTGAAGACAATGACGAGATAGTGGAAGAGGATACAGAGGAGGAGAACGCGGTAGGGCAAGAAAACGATCGAAGCAACACTATACAGAGAGAGCTATCGTTGCTACAGAGAGAACGGGACCTGTTAGAGAGAGAAAGACAATTGTTGCAAAGAGAACGAGAAATGGCCCAGAATATGTTCCCGATGACTGGAGGCACGACTACGAACGGCAACGCAATTTCGACGACTGGAAGTGTCCGAGGGATAAAAGAATTGCTGCCAGAATTTGACGCATCCGAGAACACCTTTTGGAGGTGGAAACAACAGTTAGAATTACTTAGGAATACATATCGACTTGATGACAACGCAACGAGGATTTTAATTAGTTCACGCTTAAAGGGACGAGCGCTTTCGTGGTTTTATTCGAGGGCCGAGTATGTTACGATGGATATCAAGGATTTGTTGCAAGAAATGGGGCAAATGTTCGACCTTCGTCCGGGCAAGCCGAAGCTCGCACTTGGAAAAGTAGCGAATCTTTCTGTGACTATTATCACGAGAAAAAAATCCTCGCAAACCGCATAGGGGAAAGTGGGGGAATTGTGCGCGGCGGGTAATTGTGCGCTATGTAATTCCGTTAATCGTCGCAATTGCGAGATGTCATTATTGGTCGTGTCACATAGTGGAAAGAAAGTTACACCTTATGCAACAGGTATTGTACCGGTCTGATAGTCGAAGGTTGAAATAAATCACCTAAAAGAAAAACAGATGTCGTCTTGCAGTTTTGGTGCTGATGAAAATAAGAAGGTAAGTTCGTAGTTTTTGAGTTTTTGTCTCAACTAAAATGTATGTTACAGGTTCTTAATCGTTTTATCGATTAACTTACAGTTCAGATAGTTTTATTCATTAATTATAATGGTATTAATATATTTATATCAAGGTGTACTTGTGGGGTGATCGCGCGCACAACCTATAGGGTAATTGTGCGCACAAGTTGTGCGCATGCTTGAAATGCGCACAGTTACCCCACATGTATTTATATGTCAAGAAGTAAGTTCCATTATCATACAAGTTTCTTTCCATTATTATACAAGTGATAATACTGATTGTGATTCTAAAGGTACGTGAGTATTTTATTTTCATTGTCAGATAATTATAACTTGTTTACTTTAGTGACAAAGTAATAACGTAAACAATA